ACTTGTGCTTATTTTATAGCTGTAACCTACGTCCAGAATTATTATATTTTGCCAACGGAAATTTTAACGTTATATCATCCCGGATATTTCATCCCCTGAAACTCAGCACGCGCAGCATACGTGACCTGGCGAAGCAGGTCATTATGTTCATTTCCAAATGTTCATGATCATTTCCTATACTAGCCGTTATGATTATGTGCAAAGACATCAATCAATGATTCTTTTATTCATTTGAGCTGTTGGAATAATATTGCAATATACAATACGTTGCGAGCGACATTTGCATGATATATACGTTCGCGTATAATTAACCCAAGAAAATTCAAAATGGCCGACATATATATATATTCGAAGGTCAAACTTTTCTGGATCCAGTGTATATATATATATATATATATATATATATATATATATATATATATATATATATATATATATATATATATATATATTTATATATATATATATATATACACTGGATCCAGAAAAGTTTGACCTTCGAATATATATATATTTCGGCTATTTTGAATTTTCTTCGGTTAATTATACGCGAACGCATACATCAAATGTCGCTCGCAACGTATTGTATATTGCAATATTATTCCAACAGCTCAAATGAATAAAAGAATCATTGATTCATGTCTTTGCACATAATCATAATGGCTAGTAGGAAATGAACATTTGGAAATGAACATAGTGACCTGCTTCGCCAGGTCACGAATGCTGCGCGTGCTGAGTTTCAGGGGATGAAATATCAAATGACTATCGATTCCGTTAAAATTTCCGTTGGCAAAATATAATAATTCTGGACGTAGGTTACAGCTATAAAATAAGCACAAGTGAATACGAAAGAATAAACAAAGAAATTCATCGAGGCATGCTAATAAGCGTCTAAATCTCTAAGGATGCAAAAGAATAAATTACGATATACCAAAAAGATCAGGTACCAAATTGTGACAAGAGTTAATTAGCTAACAACCCTCAAGTGTTCATTAGATAGCTACTACAAATATGTGTAAGACTTCAAGCAATGATCCTTTACTTATTTGAGCTGTTGGAATATTGCAATATACAGTACGTTGCGAGCGACATTTGATGTATGCGTTCGCGTATAATTAACCCAAGAAAATTCAAAATGGCCGACATATATATATATTCGATATATATATATATATATATATATATATATATATATATATATATATATATATATATATATATATATATATATATATATGTATATATATATATATATATATATATTAAATTATAATTTTTACAAAATTATACAGTGTTCTCCGGATTGTAATTATTTGTTTTGAGCTTTCGACTCGGTACTTCGAGCCTTCATCAGAAAGATTGATCATTTGAATTTTCGCGCTGTTGTTGACGCTGTTGGAGTCTGTGGGAACGTCTGATTGGTTAATGGATTTCAGTATGTTGGTTGCCATTGGTTACTATCGAATGCGGGTGATTATTGTTATCATGAGATGGTGTAGGGAAGGAAGTTGCGGGTGGGTTAAAGGTTAATGAAGATGATTAGGAGATTTGTGTGAGCGTTTCAGTTGTAAGTAAATTGTAGGGATGTACCACGACTGTTTCAGTTAAGTTGTTTGATGCAATTTGTTATTAAGGTATGATAAATTCTGGTTTCAGGGAAATATAAACATTGAAAAAAACTTTAAGTATAAAATTATATATAATTTAATTTGTGAACGAAATTTACCATTCCACTGGCAATTTGACGAGCAAACGATTCCAATTCTTTTGTATCCAAAGCAGCACGAATTTCCTCGTTTATCCCTGACGCAATTTTCAAATTTAAATCTAAAGTGTAATATGTAACAAAACTAATCATAAACAGTTGATAAATATCAAATACATTTTTAGTAGTGGAATTCGAATGCAGAAGCATTTGATACAATGGAATTCGAATGCAAAAGCGTTTGATCTTATTTTATTATCACTTTCAACTTCCCTACATCTTCGAAATATTGACAAAAATCTGCGAGCAACTAATTTTTCATGCATTGTTGTATACGTCCAGTTAATATCTCTGTCTGGATATCTGGAGCAAGAACTTCAGAACTTCATTCGTCCTATGAGAAAAGTGAAGCCAAGATGGCGGAAATTGATGTCTTCTTTCTATGAAGGTCGTAAACAGTGAGTTAATACCATTTTCCCAAGCTATTTTTTCCTAATTATAACGGGCGGTATCGCTTAATGAGTAATCAATTCATAAAAGCATATAGTATTAATAAAAGCATTTAGTATTTTTGCACAAGTGAATACAACAAATCCTACAACCTGATTGGTCAAATTTGACGTATTAAGCTGTTATATTCACCTACACGTGAATATAAAAAAACTGACATTTTCAAAATAGCGGCTAGCCGTTTTGTGGAAGTTTATTGATAAAGAAATAAGCGAAATTAAAATAAATTCAGCACCAAATAACACAAAAGACTTGTGTAAAAATACTAAAACAATTATTCGCCTCAGGCTTGGTGATTATCGGGGAATATTCACCTCGACTTCGTCTCGGCGATTATTCCCCGATAATCACCTCGCCTTTGGCGAATAATTGTTAAATAGTATTAATAAAAGCATATAGTATTAATATTCTTTTGGCCAATATAATACATTTCTTGACGGACGGAACTTCCGATCCTAATGAAGTTTTAAATACGATCATATTGAATCGCGCGTGAATCATGTCACTGAAAATTAGCTTCGGCATGATCCTCGAGAAAGTGAATAGATTTATTACGATCGTGAACTCTATGGTTGAAAATTTCTTTTTGGAAAGCACTAGAAGGCACAGTAAAGATAAACCGTTTATTACGAACAAAATAAAATCATTAATAGTTTAAAGGAACACGACATAATTATATAGTAGTGGTAAAATTGAGCTCTTTAGACTATTAAGGGCACAAGTCTCAAAAGAGATTAAGGAAGCTAAATCTACTTTCTATATGATAAGAAGGGTAGACCAAAACGAACTGCTTGTTCGAAATCAAGGTAGAAACAAATTAAACGCCTTACTCATGGAAAGGAAAAAGACAGTGTTACATTAGTAGATCCGGAAATAAAACTCGAATTGAATAATAATCAATCAGTCACTATCATTAATGATTTCTTCGCGGATCTTACTAAGCATTATCCCGAATAAACGAGGAATGGAGATTTTTAACGATTCATTTAGAGGAAAGTACTTCCCAAAAATATGGAAACAATATAAATTAAAAGGCATTCCCTAAAGTTCACCTTGTTCAACTGTAGATAATCTTAGACCGATAGCCCTTACTAGTGTCTTATCCAAAATACAAGAATCCTTTGTTGTCAATTGGATGAATGAAGATATAGATGGCAAAATCTTGGCGTCACAGTTTGGGTGTATTCGAAATTCGTCAACATCTTTGGCATTAATTATTTTTCTTGACTTTAAGAAGACATTTGCCCTTATTGACCATAACATTCTCCAAGAAAATATGAAGTGTATAGGCGTTAGAATGGCGCTAATCAAATGGTTTACAACATATTTAAACGAGAGGTCTCACTACACAGAACTGGGTAATGCTACGTCAGGCCTTCGAATCATTAGAGGAGGGGTGCCTCAGGGCAGTAAAGTTGGGCCAACTGCTTTTATTATTAAGATAAATAATTTCCCTGCAGTTATAAGAGATGAAATGAGTCGAATCATGGCGACCAGCAGTGAAGCTTGTGCTATTATCGAAGATGACACAATTATGTTCATGGACGAATAGAGTAGTGTATAGGATATATATTCTCATTTTTAACTGTAATTCGCATTATAATTGAGTGTTTAACTACTTAATGTGAAATTTTAGAAAATAATAATAATAACAATAACAATAACAATAACAATAACAATAACAATAACAATAACAATAACAATAACAATAACAATAACAATAACAATAACAATAACAATAACAATAACAATAACAATAACAATAACAATAACAATAACAATAACAGCAATAATAGTAATAATAATAATAATAATAATAATAATAATAATAATAATAATAATAATAATAATGGAAACTTTATTGAAATTATATACGTATATATACAATTATAAATCTCACTAATTTAGGTAATTTATAATTGACTACTTGAACCTACTTAATATTTATATATTAATAATGAGTATCCTTAAATGTTCAGTAATTCCGGATTTAACCAGTCCTTATCTCTGCAACAAAATATATAATATGTTGTCCTAGCTAATCGCGATAGACATAATTTTCCTGATAGCGAAATATTGGTGTCTTTTATCAAGACCTAGATCAGTTAACATATCTAAAAAGGAATGACATTCTTTTGAGAAAACGCCTAAAGAACTAATTGACAAATTTACAAAAATAATAAGAATATTAATAATAATAATAATAATAATAATAATAATAATAATAATAATAATAATAATAATAATAATAATAATAATAATAATAATGGAAACATTTTTAAAAAATGATTTTACATAGTTAAAAACAAGGCAACCAGCACTCACTACAATATGTAGGCATCCAGGATGCTGTTATGGTACTGAGAGATTTAAAAGTGTTTACAATATGGTGATAAAAGTCAAGATTACCAATATAAAAGTTCTGGGTCATTCCATCCCCTGTCTCTCATGCAAAACAGAAAGTACGTAGTCCTAATGCAAACTCCACATAGTGTTCTAATTAAAAAGTTTGTTTGAAGTATGTCTAAGCTCATTACATTCTCTAAAAAGCCATAAATCTTTTTACACTCTATTCCAATTACACCAATAGCCCCCATTGATAAATTGAGATACTCAACGGTATTATATCGTTGCTTCAAAGCATTACAAAGATTCCTATAGCGTGTTGTTTTCCTAATACAATTTTTAGTAATGTTAGTCTCAAATCCAACAGTCAATTCAATTACGTAAATTGCTCGATTGGTGTAGTTCTCAATGATCATATCCGGTCGGTCATCAAATTCAGTTACAACTGATGGATTTTCGAAGCCTTCGAATCAGCGTAGAAGCGTAAATCTTTCTTAACGCTCCATAAATACTCGACAAGATGTTTAAGAATCGAGTTGTGACGCCAAGTGTAGCGCCCTTCGTCCAGATGGATCTTACAAGAGGGCACGACATGTTGTAAGGTTTGCACGTTTGAGCACGCCTTGCAAAGTTTGCTAGATGTTTTATTCCAGAGAAGCATGTTATTCAAGGTAGGCAATGTGTTATTCAAATATCTCGTGACAAAGTTGTAAATGTTCTTGGGTAGTTTGTCTATAGTAGCATGCCAATCTTTAACAATCTCAGGAAAGGCCTCATTCCAAAGCGATTTTATAATTAAACTTTGTGAAGTTAAATTATATGTGATGTTTGCAACTTTTTCTGCCCGGATTTCTTGAATAACTTCCTTCGGCTTGAGATAACGATCGTACTGGACATTAGTATTTGTACTACTGGCTTGGTACACTTGCCGAATGTCAGGTGAACTTGAGTTTTTCAACTTGCTTCTTAAAATAACTTGACATTGTGTGAATTTCGCCGATATATCTATTATGTTCAGACCAAATTTGGATTTAGCAAGTAGTAAAATATCTAAAGTACCACAGGGAGGTATTTCAAGCCATTCACGGAATTGGTTGTGACACATCATATCTAATGTATGTCGTACCCAGGTTATATCAATGTCCGCAATTGTCAGATGCCAGGAGATTTTAGGTAACAAATATTTCATATACAAATGTAACTTAAACTTCGGGTGTAATGCAAGTCGATCAATTTTTCCCAGAATTTCCTCAGTCTCCTCGAACAGCAAACGTTAGTGATCAGAATTATCCATAGCAAAATTATAGTAACGACCAAGATAACAGAAACTTTCATTACGCTTTACTGTAGGAATCACACACTGATTTAGATATAATTTTGGAAGGAATTGGGAGCTTGTAGAGTTCAATTTAGAAACCCCAAAAGTTTTACACTTATCAATCCGCAAAGTCATTTTGGCCCATGAGCACCAAGCAGTAAAAGCGTTCAGTAGAATTTGAGCTTCGTACTCCTCACCAGATGTAATAGCCGCATCGTCGGCAAATTGAAACCAATGCTTTGGCCTTAGAAGGGGTTGTGAAGACGTGAAGCCAAGTTGAATAAATCTATCAGCTTGATATATTGAATATAGGTATTGACTAGCATGTTAAACAACAACGGGCTAAGACAACAGCCTTCCAAAACACCTCTGTTAACTCTGATGAAAGGCGTTTGGTATGCATCAGTAACCACAGATGAATAAAAGTTGCTGTATACATTTTCAACGCATTTCCTAAAATGCTCCGGGATATGATGGTATTGCAACACAGGGGAAATTAGTCGATGGTGAACCTCGCCAAAAGCATTTTTTAGATCCAACAAAGTTACTGTTAGAGAACGCTGTTGGTTTTTTTGCTTGCTTGATTAGAAATGCTAAGTGTGCTGTGTGTTCAAATGTACCAGACATTCCAGGGGTAAAACCTTTTTGAATGCTGCTTTCAATGAAATTATTCATTAACAGGAATTCGTACATCGTATTACGCAAGATAGACATGAAAATTTTCAATGGAACTGGCTGCAAAGTAATCGGTCTAAAGCTATTAGGCTCATCGGAGGAATCTTTTTTATGAATCAAAATGCTAACTGCTTTCTTCCAAATATCCGGTATTTCATTCGACTTCCAAACGTTTTGAATTATAGCAGTTAAGTACGATCTAAGGTATGCAGATTTTTTTAACGGGATTATAGACAATTGGTCCAACGGGCAAGCTGAGCCATTAGGTTTCATTCTTCTAATAATTGAGGTTATTCTTGCATAAGTAGGAGGATCTGAATTGAATTTATGCGTAGGTGTCGATAATGAGGGTATCCAGTCAGGTATTGTGAAAGTATGCGTGGGCAATAAACGTTTCCACATGGTAATAAAGTAATTTGTACAGCTTGACAAGTTAAAGGTCGGCAAAAGTTTCTTTCCAAAATCAAGTTTCATTTTCGTATAACGCCAAAAGTTTTTTTTTAATTTCTTCGTCATCATTGAGGGAATTTAAACCGGAGGAACATCCTTTTTTCGAAGCTAAGTTACGTAATAGTTTTGAAACGTACCTAATGTTATTTACATCAGTGACAGATGTAAATAACAACGTTTCAACTCTTGCTTAGTATAATTAGCATACTTCTTGTCAAATTCTTCGTCAAGAGCATTTTTCTTATTCACTGTCCCAAAATTTTCAGCAAAATAATCATAGACTAAATTTGACATTTTGATCGCACATTCGTTTATTGATTTTTCGTTCACATCACACATTGGCAATTCCGCTCTAAAATACCAGTCCGCTTCCCTCCATTGACTTTCGTTTTTAGGCAATTTAACACCCGGCTTAAGACCAGGAGTATCATCCAAAATAAGGCCGTCAAGTTCGACAGATAAATCATCGTCTAGATTGTTAACTTCACTCTCCTCAAACAAAAGTTCATCATTCATACCTTTAACAAATGGACACGATCTTTGATGGGTTTTCAGACCTCTAAAATTTTTACATTTCTTCCCACAACAGCAATGGACACCATCAACATTTGAAATTCTACCTTGATTTCTCAAAACAGCTTCGTTTGTATTATGCGTTTCTTCACTGAACTACGATCAATCAGCGTAGGCTGCTCGTTTCTTTCGTTAACACTTTCGCGATTATTAAGCTTCTCTTTACAACGCCAAGCATGGCGACCAATACTCTTAAAGTCAACGTGGCAATAAGTGCAAACCACCAACACGAAGAGCCAGAATAATACCGTTTTCATCATGAAAGACAGGCAATTTCTACCCAGACTCAAATAGGCAACAAGAATACGATAAAAGATCCAATAAAAATTGAAATAAAATCTGTACCAGATAACAAAATCGTTAAAACATTAACACCCTGCAGGAGCAACGAAAGACATGTCCGACTCCCTCGAGGGCATAACAATAAACATAATAATAATAATAATAATAATAATAATAATAATAATAATAATAATAATAATAATAATAATGGAAACTTTATTAATGAATTTTTAAAGTTACATACAATTGTAAATCTCACTTATATAAGGTAATTCACAACCGTCTACTTGAATCAATAATAACTATACATACACAATATAACAATAATAACAAACAACAAATATATAGTACAATTTTTAAAAGGTTAGTAGTTCCGGATTTGTCCATTCTTTGTTTCTGCAGCAAAATATATAGTAAGTTGTTCTGATTGCAATCGTCGTCATTCGTTTAAAGCAGTATTTTTGGTGGTTTTTTCGAAGCCAAGATCATTAAGCATGTCCATGAAAGTCAAGCATTCTTTTGCAAAAACTCCAAGACTGCTAATTGAAATATTTATAAATTTGACGTTCTCGGAATGCTCGCTTTGTTCCCTAATCAATTCTGAGTATTTGGCCTTTTTGCGTTGAACATTCTTTTCAAGATTAGACTCGTACCCGTAACAGTTAGTTCCACGATATATAAACATCCACTTGAGGTTGACAGCAGCAAATCAGGACGATAATAGTCACCAGCAATGATATATGGATGGAATTTTGTATCCTGGGAGATCCACATAAAGATATGATATGCTGACAGTCTGCAGGTTCGTCACAAGAAAGTTTAAGACAGAATCGTGTCTCCATGTGTATCGTTCCAGATATGATTGACAACCTGCTACAACGTGCAAAAGGGTTTCGGGGGCCAGGCAATAAGTGCAGTCTGAAGTTGTCGATATAGCCCATCTTGCAAGATTTTGCTGCGTTGGGAGAGAATTGTTAATATATCGTACATATTTTTCGGCAGGTTCGATTGACATGTGGACCAAAGTTTCGTCAGTTGGGAAAGAGAGTACTTTGTAATATTGGTGAAGAAGGATCCTTGGCATGTTAGTTGGTTACGCAATCTAACCTCTTGTCCAGAGCGAAAATCCTTAAGAACTTGCTTTGTCGAGTGATTGATGTCGTACTGGAGGGCAAATATAGATGAAGGGAAAATATTGAGACCAAATTTGTTTCGGGTTAGGAAGACAGTGCTCAGCGTTCCGGATATAGGTATATCAAGCCATTTACGAATATAACTGTTCACGTTGGAATCAATATTTTCAATGACCCAGGTTTTCGATAAACCAGTAACAGTAAAATGCCATGATAATTTCGACAAACATACCGACTGTAGAGGAGGATTTTATTTTTTGGGTGTAGTGGTTTAGAATCAATATCAGCCATTAGTTCTTCAACAAGTGAGGTTAGTTCAGACTTGTGTTTTTCATCGGACATGATAAAGTTAAAATATCTTCCTAAGTACTGAAAATGTTCTCCGAGACGGGTCGTTGAAATTAGTTGGTTATTAATAAGTAGTTCGGGCAGATACTGGATTGATTTTGTCAGGGCTTTTTTGATGCCAAAGGTACAACATTTATCCACCCGAATAATCATATTGGACCATTGACACCAAATAGAGAACCGGTTTAAGAGATGTTGATTTTCCGATTCTTGACTACTTATGACCGCAGCATCATCAGCGAACTGGAACCAGTGGATGGGATTTAGAAACTGGAAGGAGAAACCAAATTGGCAATATTTCTAAGCTTTTATATGTTGGATAAAGGTGTTGAAACACATATTGAAGAGAAGAAGACTGAAACAACCACCTTTCAGTACACCACGGCCAACTGTTATGAAAGGGGTACGGAATTCGGAGGTAATTATCGAAGTTTGAAAATTAGTATATAAGCTTTCAACAATCAATTTAATGTGTTCAGGGATATCATGATAATCAAGTACGGATGTCACGAGATTATTATGAACTTCACCAAAAGCATTCTTGAGGTCAAGTAAGGTGATGACAAGCGAGCGTTGTTTGATTCGAGCTTTGTTGATAATGTTGGCCATTTGCGCAGTGTGTTCTAGGGTGCCAGAGAGGTTAGGTGTGAATCCTTTTTGTATATTATGTTCTATAAAGTTATTAGCGGTTAGGAAGGAATACATGGCGTTGCGTAGGCAAGAAGTAAATACTTTCAGTGGAATGCTTTCCAGTGTGATGGGTCGGAAATTGGATGGGGTATTAGGATCGCCTTTTTTATGGATCAGTATTGTGCAGGCTATTTTCCATTTGGAAGGAATGGTTCCAGATAACCACACAGCACGTATCAAGTCAGTTAGGTATTATCTTAGGAAAGGACAACGTTTAAAGCATATAATAGATAGTTGATCAAGAGGGCATGGAGAACCGGACGCTTTCATTCTACGGATTATATTAGTGACTTGTTGATATGATGGAGGGTCAAGGTTAAATTGAACTTCAATATTACACAACTAACATAACACTTGCAGAACTAGTATTGTTCGATGCTGAATTAATATAAACGAGTATGTTTATGACATTCACTATATATTTTGTAATTTCCAGTCTTAAATCCGTCTGACCGTGTAGCTCAGTAGGTAGAGCGTTGATCTAGTAATTCGAAGGTCGCGGTTTTCGAGACCCAGCCGCGCAGACAACATCTTTATTTCATCTTATTAACATATATATATATATATATATATATATATATATATATATATATATATATATATATATATATATATATATATATATATATACGACAATGACCAAAACTTGCCTTAGCCAAAAGCACATAATATTACGACAAAGAGATGTCAAGTGGCCGAAAATTTATTATTTGTATACTTTACTTTAGTCATCTTTAATAAATTCTTCG